AATAATTGATCAGTCATGTAGACAAATATGAAATATCTTTCACTAATTAGCTTTAACTACAGATGTAGTTAAAGATTTAGCTGTGTGTTTTAGTTCACTCATCACCTTCTGTGTGTCCGTCTCCGTGTACCCACTTTGTTGTGTTCTTCTGTGAACATTACACATTTTATTCAAATACGACATCTGGTATAAGAACCACAGTAATTTTCAAGTGAACAATATCTGTTGCATTTTTCAGACAGTCGGAATTATCGACTGTGTGTCAGACTTAGTTAGAAGAAGGACTATCAGAAACCACTGCGAAATAATGTGTGGTGTTTGAATGAACTAATGATACCTTTGTACTTGTTGAATGCTTGATTGAGAATTTTAAATACAGTACATTCGTTTTTGGTTATCTAGTCCTTCTTTATCCGATTACGTTATTTCTGGGATTCTTAGTTCATGCCATAATTCAAATACTTCAGTTTATCAGATCATCTTAATCATATTGACAGATTTTTCAATGTTACTGAGATGGCACTATCTAAACAAATACTTGTTTTGATACACTTACCCAACACTTCATAAATGACGTCACCAAGCCTGATAATTGTGTTTAGTCTATCGACAGTGTCAGTTGTCAACGGTACCGTGATAACTCATCTCCGACTGATAGCTCAAATGCTTCAGATCACATCTATTCATATCCAATCAAGAACATACAAGCAAATACCTTTAGTTCATACGTAGTATGTGATATCCCAATTAATCACATTCCAATGTCTTCTCATTCCAACTCAGGCAAACTCATAAAATTGTCTATTGTCAATATGTGGTAATATTTTCGGTTTCCAACGGCTTTGTCAGTGGTACGAGTATCTGTAATGAAGAATTGAATGAAGAAATCAAATATGTTTGTCATACAATTCGTTGTTCAGAAGACGATATTATTGTACACGATAACAATGCCAAATATAATTTCGAAGCAATCTCTTGACAAACTTCCTACTTTCTACATTTGTAATTTTGGTCATCGTCTTTGTCATCACTACTATCATCGTAATTTACTCTGAATATCTGAATATTCTCCGTCTTTATATGCATATTTATCTGACTTTTATGAAAATATAAACAAAAGTTCGGTGAAGAAACATGATTTTTTGAGGTAGTATATGGATAAATATGTGAGCATTATACTTGTTGTCAAATTGAAATCAACATTCATTTGCATACATATATACTTGACAAGTTGGTGATAAAGTTGTTACTGGGAAACGGTATAACACACGAAATTCGTTAGACATAATTTAGACCAATTTAATGGAGTATAATGAGAAAAAGAATGAAGAACAATTACAAACAAACTGGAAAGAAGGACAATTGACCGAGATACCAAAGAAAGGCGATCTCAGCAAGTATCATAAGTGCAAGGGCATCACTCTTCTCTCAATACCACGGAAATTCTTCAATAGGATGTTGTTAAACAGAATGAAGGACTCCGTAGACGTCCAACTTCGAGACCAACAGGCTGGATTTCGTAATGATCGATTGTGTACCGACCGAATCGCGGCACTATGGATCATTATGGAACAATGGATTGGATGGAATTCATCACTCTACATCAACTTCATTGATGACGGGGAAGCATTTGACATCGTGAATAGGACAACACTATGGAAACGTCTTCGATACTGCGGCGTACCTGAGAATATAGTCAACATCCTTCTGAATTCACATGATGGATTAAACCACAAAATCGTTCATGGAGGATAGCTCACAGACTCGTTAGAAGTAAAGACAGGTGTCAGGCAAGGTTACCTACTCTCACACTCTCTCTTCCTCCTAATGATCGACTGAATCATGAAGATGTCAACATCTGTGGGAAAGCATGTGATACAGTGGACAACTAGGATACAACTGGACAATCTAGAATTTACAGAAGATTCGGCTCTTCTATCACACACACAACGACAAATGCAGGAGAACACGACCAGTGTAGCAGCAGCCTCAGCAACACTAGATCTCAACATAAACGAAAGGAAAGGCGAGATTCTCCGATACGACACAACATGCACCAAACGAATTACACTTGACGGAGAAGATTTGCAGGATGTAAGACATTGACATATCTGGTCAGCATGACTGATGAACAAGGTGAATCTGATGCAGATGTGAATGTGTGGATCGGCAAATCAACAGCAGCATGTCTACAACTGAAGAACATCTACAACTCAAAACATTTTCCAATCAACACCAAAGTCATAATTTTCAATACAAATGTGAAGACAGTTCTACTGTATGTGGTGGAAACCTGGAGAACTACGAAAGCCATCATTCAGAATATACAAGTGTTTATAGCAATTGTCGGCGGGACTCTATTTTATAAACGATCTTTGAACAAATCTTCAGTGGCCTTGACAATTATTGGCCAGTCAGAAGACAATTCGTATAAAGTAAAAATAAATTATAAGAAACCAGTGAATTACAGTGGATATTCTTCTTCTACATGATTTAAAAACTTGTTAGGGTTTTATAAAGTTTCGGATGTTGTGAAATCATAATGCATACGATATAGAAACTCGTCCATATGGCTCCATGATAGTTGTCCTCTGGAGCGGTGATACGGTCTTAAGAACTCCTTCAATCTTGACCACATGGCTTCAACGTTATTAGTATGAACCCCGGTGGTAGGGTCGACAAAATGACGTTTATGCGCCACGGCATGATGAACATATCCAAGTCTATGAAGGCATCTATACGCTTTCCAATCATCTGTATATGTCGTAGTGCCCGGCTGCACGTATTCCTGTATAATCGGTATTATTGTGCTTGCTTACCGGTTATCGACCCTCTGAATATCCCGCTTTTGCGTTGACCGGTCGTAAATTCCAAGTACCTGTCAAGTATATTTACTGAAGTGCTATATACCCATTCTCCCCCCTTATATTAAGCCCCCTGTTGTAATTTCGCTTTCACACTACTGTTTCATCTATTTCCAAATACTTCCGACTCCTCCGAATGACTCGTGTAAACGTGTCATTTTAATTGCACATATATCACGACAATACTCATACCATTGGACGGCTGAAGTTTCAATAACATCTGCAAATGATGGAGCCAGTGTTACTGATGCTTTTATAATTCAATTTGCAACTATTATCTTGATTTGCCTCAGTCTCTGTCGCGATTGAGCAAAGAAAGTCCCCGTTCGAGCAGACTTCTTTCTCCAACATAAAGAACATCGAAACAAAATGTCATCACTATAGTCTGAGCACGGTAATGAAGTCATTTGATTACCGCAGTCACAGGCAAAGGAACTTCTTAGTAGTCCCATCCCTTGTAGCCCCTAAATGCCCTGGTACTGCTGAGAGCGGGGATAGTCCGCTCGCCCTCCCGAAATGCTCTCACATGACCACGCGTATATAGCCTCTGTCAGAGAATTCCTACTTATGTCTTCTCGTGTTGTTTACGAAACTGATGCTTTAACCGGATCCCGAACCAATGGTGCACATGGGCTCCAGTATCCTGCAGGAACAAATGGCGTATGAACCAATCGTTGGTCACCGGCTACCATGGGAATGTATCACCTCACGATGCTCCACTGCCTTGTGGATCAGACCTTCAGGTCAAAGACTCAGGATGTGGCACCCGGGCAGTATCACAGCCCTTACAAATATCAAATGAGATCTGTGCGGCGCATATGTATTTGGTACCTCATTGTACCAATATCTATGTGTTAAAATAAAAAAATAAAAAACTGTAACTGCTCAATAATCACCTCTTCTCTAAAATTCACTGTAAACCGATTGTACGTGAGCATCAAGTATTGAAATTGGCGCCGTGACCTTGAAATTCCTCAAACGCTTCTAATTGTCTCGTTTATAAATTGAGTCTCGTCACAATTGTCAATGCAAAATACTTCGGATCCGTTCGTAAGACACTATCGACAACAACCTACTATGGGAGAGAAAAAACCAGATTCCATCGAAGAAGGAAGTCAGGAAGAAGCGCTGGGAGTGGATAGGATACACATTGAGGGAAGCACCCAACTGCGTCAAAAGGCAAGCCCTCACATGCAATGCTCAAGGTCAAACGAGGAGAGTAAGATCGAAGAACACGTTACGCCGAGAAGTGGAGATAGATATGTGAAGAATGAACAAAAATTGGATAGAACTAGAAAGGAAGGCTCAGGACAGAGTGGGTTGGAGAATGCTTGTCGGCAGCATGTGCTCCATTGAGGGTAAAAGGCGTAAGAAAATAAATAAGTAAGTAAGTAAGTAAGTAAGCAGTTGTACAACTCAAGCAAGTGTTGTCACCGAAATGAAACACTTTACTCGTTGATCTATCTTGATTCGTTTTAAATTACGACGTAGATTACTTTAGTTAGTTATTAATTTTGAGTATGAGGCTGTGAAGATTGTCGAGTTTAGATTAATATATCATGAATGGAACAACGTCAGACCACCATTGAAGACGTGAAAGTACTAGACGACCGTTTCATCCTAGTATGAGACTCCTCAGTAGTTCTTGTGTTTTCAGTGTTCAGTTGCTTATATAGTTTACCTATATGTCTACTACATGGAACTGAAGTCATCAATATTCAACTTAATTAACCAGTTCTTCTTGTTCACAAGTAATTTACTGACTTAATACAATAAAGTACTTTTAAATAAGTTTGTGTAAGGCCGTAACTACAGTAAGATAAATTTACTACCATTTGTTGGCTAATTATTTTGATCATCATTTCAGACCTGCATTTCTCGGTTAGATACACACACACACAAGTCAAACTAGTTATCCAATGATTATGAAAAAAGATTGAGTTGACTGGTTAGTTGTTCATTCCATTTGATACTATAACATTTCTGTATGTTCAAGCACAGCAATTATTTGGCTAGAGGAATAGTATATAAATAAGAACACATAAATGGTGAAAGATTGAAGCAACTGTCTTGTTATTGAAATTGACTACTTTCATTACAGTTCATTAGAGAACAAGTAGGAAACCAAACAAAATCATGGAAATCATCGATGGTCTACTATTTATGAAAAGACCTGAAAATCCAAAGCAGATAACTGAAAGAAAGAAAGTTGATTTGGAGAATGGCGAGCATAATTATTCAAAGAACTTTGACAAGACATTGACAGAAGAAGAAGAAGAAGAAGATCCAACGAATTGTTCGTCAACATTACTTGAGCATAAATCTCAATTAGAGAGTCGTCTACTCACTCGTGATGATCTGATTAATTTAGACAAAATTGAACCTCGTTGGAGATATATTCGAATAGGATTATTAATTGGATTTGGGATTATATTTTTTGGTCTTTTAGCAGCATGTATTGTTTACATAATTGTTGGAGAAAAATGCCCATCTGTGCCCAAATTACCATTTTGGAAATCAACAGTTGGTTACTGGTTAGATGTGTTTGCATTTAAAGACTTTTCTGGCGATTTAGTCGGAGATCTAAACGGTAATGAGTATTAGTGTAAAACCTCTATCGCTCAAATGATGATTTTATCCTTATAGGTCTCACATCTGAAGTAGATTACATCAAAACTGTAGTCGGTGCAGGATATGTGATATTGGGTCCCATTACTAAAGGATTTTACACTAATTCATACAATATGCTCGGATTAGTGGAAGATTATGAACAGTTAGATGAGGCAGTCGGCACAATGGATGATTTTCGTGTTCTTTTAAAAAGATTTCATAAAAACGGTATAAAGGTGGTCCTGACTTTCAACTTCAATGACATTTCCATCAATCATAAATGGATTTCAGAAAATGAAGTCAAACTGAAGTTGTTTGAAAATTCTCTTAATAATAAAGTAAAGTTATTGTCTTTCTTTCATAATCTCCTCATAATTTATTTAACATAAAGATGTCACGATACGGGAAAGCGATCAATGTAGATATCGGTGATCAGAAGTTTTATTCTGTATTTGGATCACCGAATGTAGATCTAGATTTAACTTCTGCCAAAACTCAGAAAGCAATATTTGTATGTTTCAATGAATCCACTTATTAAACTGTATTATTACCGATAGGATGTGATCCATTTTTGGATGAAAGAAGGAATAGATGGAATTCTCCTGGATAATGCTGCATTTTTTGTTGAAGAAAAAGAAGAAGAAGAAGAAGAAGGAACACAGAGCAACGTAAGTCTACAAATGATAATTCAATCATTATTTCTTATCCCTTTATAAACTATTCTCTTTCCTTTTACTCTATCTGTACATTTAGCTCGGTTCAACATGGTCGGAAAACTGTCCCAATTCTCAATTATATAGAAATGGAAGTGTGAAATTTGTTGAAGGTGTAAGAGAAGAAATGAACAAGTGGATTAAGGAAAGTGGAAAAGAAAAGTGTGTTCGTTATTGATTATTAATTTTGTTAAATTTTGCCAACTAAAACCCAATAATGATTAGTTGGAGACTCTGGGTGACATGGCTCAGAATCGATCACAGTGGCGTCGGTGTATACACTCTCTGTCTTCCCTTAAACTAGGAGATTGAAATCGCTTCATATCTTTCTTTCTACGAACTAATTCTTTCTTCCTGTACTGTATCCTTATATGCAATCTTTCATATATCACTACCATTGAAGTAACGACTTCTATGAATTTGGTGTTCATCTTGTTGTGCTAATCAGGTATGGCATCTTGGACCGATGTATATATGTGCTTGTTCCTTCATTATAGCTGACTGACTGAATGATTGGTTGAACATCAGAGATATTCGTATAAATACAGATCAGTGATAGTTTCGACCGTACAGTTTACTATGTTTTTACCGTGAATTTAAGGAATTAATTGGGTAAGGTGAAACTGTCCAAGAATAAACAGGTAAGTAAACAAAGAGTCTTTGTTTATGTGTTTGGTATATATATAGGTTACACACTCAGCGATACTCTGATAGTAAAGTTATGCAGAGCAATTCAATGAACTTTCAATGTAGGCAGAATATAGTTTTCTGTGCATCATTTGATAACCTCGAGATTGAAAGACAAAGTAAGTAGACTATTTGTCTAACTGCTCGTGTAGAGTAATTCAGATGTCCCAAAAATTTTCATTTTCATGGTTACAGACTGGATCTTTATGTTGAAGAGAAATATGTCCAAAAGCTTTTTGTACCTTGGCTAACTTCAAGTTCAACAAGTCATTTTGATGATAAAATGGTATCATTCGACTAACATACCAACAGTTGTCTTCTTTATGTTTATGAATTTCAATGTATCTTATCCTAATTTACTAATTGGTTTTTAATTCATACCACTCTATACATTACTCGAATGACTTGGTGAAATTTCGTCAGTTGAGATGGCTGGGACATGTGTTACGTATGCCCAACCACCGACTGCCTTGATTTGCGATGTTTTGTTGTATAGGAGTAGATTAGAAGAAAGTTTGGGGCAGCCAGACCAAAACATGGCATAAGTCCATGAAGTTACTGACAAGTAGACTGAGTCATATTGGTAGGTGTAGACTACCTGGTTTCGGGGACCGCGAGACGATAGCAACCGATGGTTAGAGACCTTGAATGACATGGCTCAAAATAGTTTGCAATAGCGCAGGTGTATTCACTCTTTGTGTTCTCCCAAATTCTAATCTTCTGAATGCTTCATGTCCCTTTCTTTTTTCTCTTTCCAAATTTATTTCACTGGATTATACTCCTTGAATAACATCGTCAAACCCTAATTTTTCTGATTACAGCTTGTAATTTTACTACATCTAGCACTGCAGGATTTGAATCGACCACTGCATCTCTGTGTTAAGGTGGTGTGGCATCTCGAACTGATATACGTACGTACGAAGTTCTGACTGACTGACTGACTGACTGACTGACTGACTGACTGACTGACTGACTGACTGACTGACTGACTGACTGACTGACTGATACATTACTCAATCATCAACTAACCCATTGTTCTACTTTGTAATTACTTCATTATTTCTATCATTACAAGTTATCTATACTTATTACGATTGATAAGCTCATAATTTTAAATGATCCATAAGAAGATTCACGTGAACATCCCATACTAGCGTCTGTGATGCAAGAGCCAAATCATCTAAGAAGTTTAAATCGTTTAATTGCATGCAAGCTGTCTATTGTATTTCATGATTCCCCTCCGATGTCGAAGTCTTTATAATCCATCGAACTATCAGAAGGAAGAGAATCGCTCCGAGTAAGAAGCATTGTATGCCTCTATCATCTGTCTTCTATGCACGACTTTGGACTGTAGTCCATTGTGTAAGTTCCGTATGATGTTGACATTCTTCTCAAGTGCAGGTATTTACCATAAACTTGTAAAATCAGATACAAATCTATCCAAAGGAATATTCTTCATTCATATTTCTGGAAGTTCTTAAACTATCAGTGATTAACTGGTATTCATATTGAACAATTAATTATTTGGACATTAATTATAATATTTGTTACAAAGATGATTGTGACTACACTTTATCCACATAATCCCAAACACATATGTATTGTATATACAATATATTCTACAGATTATTGGCTGTGAACTCTGGTGATACAGGTTGTGGTGTGGGCGATAATCCAGATCCAATGTTAATGTTCAGAGATGTGGCTGATTTAATAATCAGTCGTGAATTGGTTTTCAATAGGGGTAGAAGTGAAATGCGATTATCATTCGACAAAACAACCATACAGAAATATTCTACATATTCAGACTCTGATAAGGAGAAATTAGGATTGATAACAAGTACTTCAAATAATCCAACAGATTCAAATGTGATTCAGCTTGCATTAACATTATTATTACCAGGTATGTAAACATGATTATGACATCTCTTTATATGAATTAAAACTATTCTTCTATTTTAGTATTCTAGTCTTCTAATGCAAATTAATTCATCATTAAGTATGGATTCACAAATTGTGGGACATTCATAGCAACACTATTGAATGATAAGGACGATTCAAATTAATACACACTACAAGATGTCATGATGAATGTTTATGAAAACACATTTTCCAACTGCCTGCAAATTCTAGGTACCAGAACATTAATCCAACAATCACTGACGACATCGTCAGGTAGATATGATTGACAAGTTTCCTACATTTTAATAGTATCTTGTTCTATGAACACAATGTTTACATTGTGAATTCCATCATGAAACTAAGCAACAAGTGTTTAATCTGTAATCAATCGCAATTAGATAGTTTAATGTGTTTAGCTTACTCAATTATTATACAATATATTCTTCACATCTATAGGACAACCAATAATTTATTATGGAACTGAGACGGGTATCAATACCATGGAATTATCTCGTATTCCGGAAAAGTTATATCCAAAAGGGAAACGTCACAATAATGAAGTGGGATTTTGGTCTACACGATCTCATTTACCAATGCCATGGGATTTCAATGGGAGGAGATTTTCAGCAACAATAAATGACTCTAGTTTTGGTGACTATTTGGATGGTTATTCACATAAAGAAACCGTTGAAGTAAGTTATATTAGTGACTTTCATACATTGAAACCTTTCAAGTCTAATATGAAGTAACTGACAAGTTTTATTGAATATCTGTAAGGTAATAACCCAGTACAGAGTGGGTTGGAGAATGCTGGTCAGTGGCCTACGCTCCATTGGGAGTAATAGACGTAAGTATGTAAGTAAGTAAGTAAGGATACTCAAGCATAGAAAATAGTAGTTCAAATGATTTGTCCACTTCTCCAAACATTCTGTATTTGCACTCTGATGGCTAATGATTAAAGTAAACAGAATGGAATAAGTTGGTCATCTGTTTACTACTAATGATCATTTATGATAGTGTTGAGCTAAACTATTCATCATTCATAATGAAATTATAACGATTATTCATGTTATTCAAGATTCATTCACCCACCATTCGTTAGGATGACAATGTGAAATGAGGAAACATTGTGTGAATTATAAATTGAAAAATTCAATGATATATAATGCCCGTAATATGAACATGAACAGACATTGATAGATTCCAGGAAAGTTCACTTCATACCATGTTACAAGTTGAATTGATTGGTGAAATAGTGTAGACAGTTGTCAAATCAGTAAAATGTGACAAACCGAATGAAACTCTGGTTTCAGAGTGAAGTCATGAATGAACTCACCTGGTAACCGGCTTAATTTTCAATCAATTTAAGCTACCGTTTCAGTGAGTGTAGTTGTATGTTTATAGACATACAAGTCTTGGTTGGTATTGAAGAATTTGTGATAAATTGACGGATGCTTCATTTGAAATGAATACCATATGTGAAAGTATTTATTTTGGTTGACAGAAATAGTTAAGTCATATAGTACTGTTGTAATGCAATCACTTGTACAAATCATTCTGAATGTGACAAACTTTTTGTTCTTTGAAGATTCAGCTTGCTGAGGGAAATAATCTATCAAAACTTAATCTCGTTAAGAAATTGGTGACTTTACGTCAGCATCATAGTTTGAAATGGGGAACAATGGAGCGGATAAGTTTTGGTGAAGTAAGTGATTTCATAGTTTACTTTTTCTGAGGTAGTTTTCGCACGCAACCACTGTGAGTTAATGTTTAATAGGAATGTTCAAAGTCAAAAATCATATCACACATCAACAATCACCATGATCAATTTCATGAGATATAAGTGACTCTTCAACTCTGTTGCTCCATTTTCTTATATTGAATTCCGTTATCATCTATTCGTTACATAACGATATTGGCATAGGCATCCATAAGATAGTTGATAATGTTAAGTAAGAAAGCTATGCCAATGAACAACTTGTTTGAAGTTGTTTATCTTGTAGCGTGGCGTCGAGTCGCGGTTGACTATGAGCACCGCTACCATGAAACACGTGCCAAATAAATCAGAAGGCAAAGGTTGAACGTAACCAAAGAAACCCATAAAATCTCCGAGAAGCCAAATATCAGACGGCAGTTAATGGACCAAGTCAAGTTATATTTGCTGGCGATCTCTTGGCATCGAGAGGATACCAAGATCGTGCCAGGATGCAAGCATGGTTACAGAAGGTAACCGAATTCGCGCGAGATCACAATCAAAGTGCAAGTAAAAGAATGGAAGCACAAAATAGCTGTCATTATCACAGTCAAACAAAAGCACGTTAAAACAAACACTGGTACAGCTGGTTATAATATTAATTATTTTTATTAAACCAGTCGTGTTCTCGTGGTAAATGTGAGTCACTACAGACTCACGTAATCTGTAAAATAATTTTTGAAAAAATTATTATTTCAATTACCGAATCTGTTCTGCTTTAGAGTCACTACATGAGCTCCCCGCTAGAAAGGGTTTACACTTTCGATAAATAGCGGTTTGAATCGTGGGACTGATCGGCTGACGAGCGGTTGTAGGACGGAAAAATTGGCAAACAGGAAAACGATCGTTGATCGTCGAGTTGCCAACGAAGGTCGTTTTCGGAGAACGGTACCAGGAGCGATGTGCTGTATTTGTTGCTTGAGTTGGCATGCTACACCAGAGTGGTTTGTATCCAGAATCGTAGGGATCCGCACCAGAAACGCTGCAGACGTAGGACGAAACCACGTTGAGCCGATAAACCAGAAGCGACCAAAACGACAAAGTTCGGGACCAAGCGTATGCCAAGCATTCGAAACCAATATATCGACTGAGTGCGTTGACAAGAGCGTGAGTGATTAGGCCAGCTTTCGCCAAAGTTGACTGAAGTCGACGGAACCAAACGGAGATGGTCGAGGGCGTGGGCTCAGGAAACAAAAAGAAAAGCAAAAAAGAGAAGAGTGTAACGTGGGTGTAGTATAGGAATAACCCTACACCGTATCGGTTGTTCACTGTGCGATTAGTCGCGGAAGCGTACGGGCAACCGTACTCGGCGACCGGAACGTGGGACGGCAGTCTCGTTTATATCTCGTGAGCCTGCAATCTCATCCGAGGTCAGAGGCGGCGTGGTCTGCTGATCTGGACGTGAGACTGTCGTCTCGTCCGTAGACGGTGCAGATGGCGCGTGCTGTTGACCGGAACGTGAGAATGAGGTCTCAGATGCATCTAGCGTGGGACCTGAAGAAGATTTAAGGATCCCGCTAGGTTTGATAGGTCCAGCATTGAATCTCAGGGTGTCAGATAGGGCACTGTCATCGAAGTGTGCTGGTTTGAGACGATCAATGCTGACGATCTCGACGCGGCCATGTCGATCAACCTTGAAGGTCTTTTCGTGACGAGCGATCACGTGAAAAGGGCCTTAGTAAGGTTGTTGCCAAGGTTTGCGTACCGAATCTACTTGTATGAAAACATGTGAACAGGTAAATAACTCTCGAGGGAGAGCGACCTGTCGATGTTGTATTCGAGTTGACACCGGAGACAGCGTTCGCATAAATGCAGACAGTCGATGGACGTAGTCTGATTTACCGAAATTAGGTCTGCTCCGTGGTGTGAAGAATTCTCCGGGGCAGGCGCAATGTCGTGCCGTAACCAGTTCAGCGGCGGAACATTGTATATCTGGCTTCAAGCTCGTTCGAATACCTAAGAGGACGAGCGATAAGGTTTCGTACCAGTTGTCGTTCTCGTGTGCTCGTAGAGCACTGTTAAGTTGGCAGTGAAACCGTTCAACCTAACCATTTGATGCTGGGAGGTAGACGTTAATGCGTATGCGAATGCATTCCGTACCAAGCAGCCGGGTCAGCGAGGAGAATAGTTAATAGGGGAAAATTTCTCGAATAAAGCGTGGAATTCATCGTCACGCGAATAAAAATTAACAAGAGTTCGGTACATATAAATGGGAGTCTATTATATTAATACTATTCTTATCGTTATCCGTCATGTCGCGTATATTATATATTAAAAAATATGAAAATATACGACAGACGAGGATAGATAAATCATAGACTCACCGAATTGGCTTTTTTGGAAGATTTGACCAGAGATTGAGGCGTGTTCCAAACTTTGGGATCACCAATTGTAGCGTGGCGTCGAGTCGCGGTTGACTATGAACACCGCTACCATGAAACACGTGCCAAATAAATCAGAAGGCAAAGGTTGAACGTAACCAAATAGATCCATAAAATCCCCGAGAAGCCAAATATCAGAAGACAGTTAATGGACCAAGTCGAGTTATATTTGCTGGCGATCTCGTGGCATCGAAAGGATACCGAGATCGTGCCAGGATACAAGCTTGGTTACTTTAGGTAACCGAATTCGCGCGAAGTTACAATCAAAGTGTAAGTAAGAGAATGGAAGCACAAAATAGCTGTCATTATCACAGTCAAACAAAAGCACGTTAAAACAAACACTGGTACAGCTGGTTATAATATTAATTATTTTTATTAAACCAGTCGTGTTCTCGTGGTAAATGTGAGTCACTACAAGCTAAAGCTTCATTAATCACTATGTTGAAACATTTGTTTCAATATGTTTACTTATTCTAGATGGTTATTTCATGAACAAATTAAGGAAAATGTTGTTCACTCATTCACTCATAATCACCATTCAACATAAGAACTTGAAGCATTAAGTTCATGACTTCCGAAGGAACTCGGCTTTCACCATGAGGCGTCATAACATTTCTAAATGAAGACCTTCTAACTCCCAAGGCAAAGTTTAAATGGTTTGAATTATTTTTTCTGATTGGTGTTTTTCAACGAGTTATTTTTCTACCGGATGAGGTCTCTAACCCCAGAGGGTCTCCAGACGGAGTTAAAACTGTTCAATATCTAAGTTTATATATTGTTTGAATAATTTAATTTTAGGAATCGTCAGATCATGCAGAAGCATTTGTACGAAAGGCAAAAGGATTTCCAACATTCATTGTGGTAATATTGAAGCAGTTAATGGAGGATTATCTTTTGGATCTCACCCCTATTTGTTCATCAGTTACATCGAAAATAATTTATCCTTCACATCCACATTTACAAGTTGACATTCCATTAACAACTTCAAAAATATACATTCCGAAAATGGATAATTCAAACTACATCTTAGTATTTCATTGTAATTGATTAGATCTTCATTGTATTTGAAATCCTCTAATCATCACTACAGATTGATTCGACTCTACTGTGAAATAACCATTTGTAATCTCATTCACCACTCTTTTTGCTGTGACTTTCTACATTCATTTTGTCAGTGTATTGAATTTGACATAAAATTATCTATGGTGTGTAATTGTTTTTATTCTATCGTAAATCTCTAATTTTCATGGAGATTGTGAATTTGTCTGTCAACATACTTCGAAACAGAGAGGAAGTGACTATTCTGTGGAGATTCTATATAACATTCAATGATGAAAGACTGTTTGCTGGATGTTGTATTGTGTCACATCCACGTATTTATATACTGATCAAAGTGATTGGTGAAATATACACCATTTTGTAAGTTCTTATTATCTGTTGTAATTCTTCTGTTTTACCTTGGTGATAAGGTAAAACTATGGTATCAATCGAAGAAATTTCATTAAGATTGTTATTTACGGAAATACGGTTTCTTCTGAGGTAATCATCTTGATTACTCTTCCGAAATGATTTAGTGCTACAGGCATTTTTGTACTGAATGGATTTGCAGAGTTAAAATCAACATACCGATTTGAATGTGTCGGTTTTTGATATATGACCAGATTTAGATTGCTATTAGAATTCCTTTCAACCAAACAGTTTAAGATTGATGGTTCATTTTCCCTTTTTGAAAGTGAATTTGATGTGTTCTCACATCGCGTTTATGTGTTTGGAGAGATCTCAAAGAAGAGTCTTTTTAATAATGAGAAATGTGTCATCTGAATATCTGAGCCAGAAACGCTGTCTGATGGTGCTGGCAAAAATAGACGACTCAATGTGGTACACAGATAAATTTGCAATAATTGGAGATACTACAGATCACATGGTTAAACCATTCGAATGGCGCACATTTTGTTGGCTTGTCAAGTGAGCAGTACAATAGATGATGAGCACCATAAAAACGTCAGTCACAATTCTGTTTCACTTGTGAAGTGAGAATAGAATCAACATGAATCTTTGCAATTCCTTATTTTAAGTTGTTTTGGATAGGTGGTAGGCACACCGGTTATTACAGTCGTTTAGAACAGCACTCAGGTTATCACTGCTCATCGCCGAATCCAAATAGGATGTTAACTTCATTTGATTCACTGGGAAATATCTACTATCGGTTCATTCCTAGCTGTGTGGCCATATATATTTCAACTACCAGATGTCTGTTTACGTCGATTCCCTTATCCTCTAAAATTATCAACAGAACCTGTTCAGCTGTATGAAAATTCCAATAGGAAACATGAAACACACTTGTTTAACGAACAATTCTATATTTTGGATAGATCAGTTCTCAAATATGTATTACTGCAAAGTGACAATCTATGATTTGCTTCACACATATAGTTGCTAGTTTATGAACTTGAATAGATCATAAACAAGTATTCGGATAGGATAGCATGAATTCATGTTATTTCTCCGAGTCCTCATCAGCTACTTAAAAACCAAGAAATGTTATTACCAAAACTGCATACGGAAGTCAACTTTTATACACAAGTGAAGTCGATTGAAAGTATATACACATCATCATGAGGATTAAAGAATAAAATGAAATTTATGAAATAAAAGAATTGCAAACAAATTCATTGTACACGAGAAGGTTGTGCAACATGAAAGATAATAATGACAAAGATCAAATTGTGGTGTATGTTACATATGTCAACAGACATATATAGTAGGTGACACTAATCGAAAGCTGAGTGGCTGGCAGCAGAAGGTTAAGAAGATCGAATTGAAGTAAATAGAAACGAAAATAGAAAAGGATTGTGAATTGGAAGAATGTAAAAGACAGTTGATGGAAGATGTGCAAATGAAGCATTCAATGTATGGTTCTCGTATTTTTTGAAGATATTCCGTACGTAATAATAAATTGGTTGTCCCCTCCTGAGTTCTCAACCATTACAATAGAACTAATGATGAATGAATGGAATTCATGAAACTGGTCTAATAGTAAATAAGAATGAAAAGAAGAATGTGGTTCAGACTAGAGATTCATTAACTTTTTTCAATGATGTCTTTCTAACAACAGTGCAATCAGATATACATGTAAAATAGGATTACGTAAGGTGATCAGAAGAGCTTTGATAGTAAACTGTATTGAGTGAAAAGCATGGGAACAAGTGTAAATACGTCCATAATAACTAAAGCAATAACTTTTTCACTTTAGTTACATTAACTTGCTAAAGTATGTTAAAGAAAAATCGAACAGTCATGATTTAATCACAGTGCCCTACTTCATATTGTTTTCTTTGGGGGGTTATACTCTTTCTTCTGAATCTCAGAAAGACTTGATACGATGATCTTGAGGTTTGATGAATAACATACAAACTAATCCTGTTGAATAATATAATGTTATTATTACTTTAAGAAGGTGGCCCCCAAATGCCCTGGTACGGCCGAGAGTGAAGGAAGTCCGCTTCCCCTCTCGAAATGCTCTCACATGACCACGCGTATATAGCCTCTGTCAGGGAAGTCCTACTCACTGCCTTCTCGTGGCAGGGGTGTTGTTTACAAAATTGAGAGGACGAAAAGCGAATGTCCGGTGCCTTAACCGGATCCCAAGCCAATGGTGTACATGGGCTCCAGTATCCTGAAGGAACAAATGGCGTATGAACCAATCGTTGATCACCGGTTACCATGGGAATGCATCACCTTACGATGCTCCACTGCCTTGTGGATCAGACCTTCTGGTCAAAATCTTCGGGTGTGGCCCCCTAAGAAAACCACCTGTTTCGGTTTGGACACCCGAGCAGTATCACAGCCGTCAAACATATCGAATGAGATTTGTGTGGCGCATATGCATTTGGTGCCTCTTTGTACCAATATCTATGTGTTAAAATAAAAAAGTAATAATAATTTAAGAGGGTAAATATTCTGGATAAAATTCACATGGTATCTTTTTTATAGATACACTGAGAATAGGATACAATCAAGAAAGTACAGTTCACTATAAGATGATATTACTTCATTTATTTTTTATGAGGTGAAGTTAGAGTTTTCAGATTATTGGCCTCTATATTCCAACGGTTCGATTTATTTTAACAATCAGTGTGATTAGTATACACGAACTGTAGTCAGTTTGAAGTGATCACATCATAACAGTGTAAGTTATTTATTGATAGACTCTTTGCACGAAACTACGTAAACAGATTTCCATCCTGCGAGGCGAGGTCGTGAATGCGCACTGCTGAGGAGTCCCAAAATAGAACGAAACCGCCGTCCAGTGCTTCCAGATTTTCCATGGTGGTCTAGCTTCAATTGACTCATGATCTCAACTGTTTAAATTGATGTAAATATGTTAAGTATGTTACATAAGATGTACTTCATAGTTGATCAGCGACTTAGGCAACGCTCAACTTCAGTGAAAATTTTAATTTATGTAGTAATCAAAGGGAGATAAGAATGAAACAACATATAGAAAAAAGATGTCACTTAACGATGATGAGAAAGGTAAACATCGCAACGAACATTTGTCGAAGCAATTTAAAAATGAGGTATAGAACAGAGATATAAGGGATACTGTTCCGCTTGACGAATATTGTGAGATAAAGAAGAGAACAAAAACACGTATCAAGAAACAAATACGGAAATAAGAAGGGATGTTAAGACTATGGTGAACTAGGGGACTGGATATACCGCCTAGAAAAATAAAAGCCTAGATCTTCTCTCGCTATAAGTTTCTTATCCAGCTTATCTTCGAAACGGTTCGTCTGAATATGTGGATACTTTTGAATAAAGATTTTGATAAAGATAGTTATTCAGCAATCAATCTATAGACTTTATATGCATTCACCTTTTGATAACCATGGAGGATAGAGGCCGTATATGTGGCTGGGAAGAGGTTATGGGTGGAAAAATCAAAACGTGGCATCAGTCTGTAAAGTCGCTAGCTTGTAGTCTTAGCCATGTTGGTAGATGCAGAATACTTGGTTGGAGTTCAAGCGACTATCGTAACTATTGGTCAGAAACTCTGGGTGACATGGCTCAAAAGCGATCACAGTGGCGTAGATGTATACACTATCTATCTTCCCTTAAACTAAGAGATTAAAATCGCTTCATATCTTTCTTCCTACTAATTAATTCTCTCTTCCTGTACTATAACCTTACATAAAATCTTTTATATATTACAACAGTGAGCTCGCTGTTTTTATGAATCCGATGTTCGTCTTACTGTGCTAATGAAGTATGGCAACTTGGACCGATGTATATATGTACCTGGTCCTACGTACCTGACTGACTGACAGATTATTCAAAAACATTTAAGGCAGAAGCTAGTGATTCTATGGATATTTCAAAAAATTGATTAATTCTAGATTTTATCTATTGTGGGATGATTGCTACTTACTGTTAAATGGTATCAAACACAGTTATAAAGAGCTGCCCAATGTCCTCTAGTTTATCATTGTGTATTTGATCTCAGAATGTCTTGAAAACTGTTCTCAAACTGTATACAATTTCAGGCAGACTTGATTGGATGGTTTGCTTCTGACTTCAGTTTAGAAATTACTACTTACTTCATAATTAGCGTGGTAAGAGAAATGTGAAATTCCATCTGCATTACCAATATCTCATAATATATACTTAATCCCTCACTGGCAACACAGTTAGTGTTTTATATCTTAGTTAGTGTAAGAAAAACATATATGAACTTTAGAATTAACTAACTATTCTATATTACTAACTGTTAGTTTGACAGCCTAAATTACTTATACACATACTTGCACCTGTTACTCCCAAGTGGAGCATAGGCCACCGATCAGCATTCTACAACACACTATCTCATGGAACTTCCTTTCTACTTCTATCCTATTGTTGTTCATTCTTATCATGTCCATCTCCATTTCTCGACGTAATGTATTATTTAGTCTTCCTCTTCTCCTCTGGCCATGCAGATTCCAACTGAGTGCACGCCTTGTAACGCAGTCAAGTGCTTACCACAATGCTTCTTCATGTGATGTGTT